TATATATATATATATATATATATATATATATATATATATATATGACGTCCGCGAAGTTGTGATGTCTCTCCGTTTTTGAAATAAGTTTTACACTCACATTCCAGGAGGGCCAACAACTTTTTTCGCACTTCCCTCTACAATTTGATAGACAGTAGAGCCCGGCGGAGCGTCTTCAGGAATGGAAACAACGTATTCAACGGCAGTGGTCTAAAATTTGATAGCGTATTCCAATCCTTATTACAATTTTCAAAGTAGATTAGAAATTACCGTTTCAATCTTTGCTTCCAAGTCATCTTCAGCTGTAGTCCTCGAGGGTAATGCGGTTGTAGTGATGGTGAACTCTTTATTGGCAACAGAATGTTTGTCTTCAGCTACGATCTGTACGATTACATTTCAAACAGTTTAAAAAGCTTAAAAAAGGAGTTTAGTACGACAAAATCTACTTGTACCTTTACAGTGTTTGATGTACCCAATAAAGAAGGGCTTTTGACGAAAAGATAGGCCTTATTCCCAGAATACAACTGCTTCGGCCTGATATCAAAAACGCTGTCGTCCTCGAGTGATAGCTTCGTGTAAGACTTTTTCTAAAGAACTCATCGAACTACTAAGTAAAACTACTTTTAGAGAATCGTTATACCTTTCCTTTGGATACAACTGAGACTGCAATTCCTCTCACCATACTTCCTTTCTCAACTGAGCTATCAATTTTGAATTTATCTTCATTGGTTCCTTCTACGATTATCCTCATGTCTAGAATAACTTTCAAGCATTTCTGATTATGAATGATCTACCAAAGTCTCCTTACCACCACTTATCTCTTCTGTGGTGACTTCGAAACTAGCACCGGATCCCTCCGTTGTGCCTACATCGTTGCTTTCAGTAGCTAATACTACATTTCTGTCAGCAATTTTCGTACTCTCTTGGCCATCTAAAAAACTAGTGGTACTAATGTCTTCGCTGGGTTCAGGATCAATCAGCTGCGACGGCAAAGTTTGTGGATCTGGGAAGATTTCTGGCGAGGTAGTAAAGAGGATGCCATCATTGTTTTTATCCAAACTTTCTTCAAGTGGTTCCGCAGTCACTTCCTCGGTGCTTTTTTGTTCTGTGGTAGACTCTGCGTCAAAATCGCTTTCTGTGGTTTGCGGAGACGTGGACGTGGTTGGAAGAGATGAGTTGCCAGTAATTACCGCGGAAGTAGCCACTAACTCCGCAAGATCAGATATAGGGTTAGCCGTGGAAGTTTCATCTTCTTCGCTTTTTCTTGTCGTTCTTTCTTCTTCTTTACCAGTCGTCGCTGACTCGTCTTCTTTGCTCGTCGTTTGTGCTCTTTCAGCTTCTTCGTTCAACACTGTTGTGGCTTCAAACTTGCTGTTGACTGAAGTTGTAACGTCCGCTTCTTCACGTTCAGACGTTATAGCTTCATTTCCTTTACTTTTTGTTGTTGTTATTAAAGGTGTGGTGATCGATAAAACTTCTGGAGTGGAGGCTTTGGTAGATACAGTTTTCTGAGAGGTTGATGCTCTGCTAGTGGTGCTACGGTGAGTTGTGGGAGACAACGACAGGACGTCCACGCGAATGCTGGCAGTATTTATTGCCCCGGCATCATGAGCCTACAATCGGTAGTAAGAAAAACGAAGATCAAAAGTATCAAGGAGTAAAATTTTCTGAAAGTGCACGTCAGTCAATTTCAAATCTAGGTTTTCACTTTTTTCGATCATTCACTTTGAAAGCAGATAGATAAATCTGCATACATCCGCTCCTCTGCGGTGTGGGAGTTCATAAATTTTTCTGTATATAATTTGTAATACAAAAAAAAAGAGTCTGCACTCATATCTATAGGCGCATGGTGCACTTGCAAAACGAAAAATGCACGTTTTTTGACTACATATCTTTAGCTAGGAAAGATAATCTATTATTTTCGACAGATGCTTAGAATTAAAGATATAAAATTCATTTTTGCTCTATAATAAGTACCACGACTTCTATGGCTTAACTGAAGACTTAATCGAACAAAAACCTTTCTATATTCTCAAATGAAGCTGCACAGTTCGTTTCTTGGAAATTTGCTGCATTTCTTAAACCAAAAGCTTTTTAGATGTTGTGAAACCCCATATCCAACAATTCTACAATATTGCGCTTTTAAACCGCATGGATTATCAGTAAATGCTAATTGGGTCAATCGTGTTGTCGACTAATCTATTGCCCTCTTTCGATGTTAAAACTTGCCTTGGATCAACAAAATATGAAAACTTCGATAAACTGTACTTATATCGCAAATATA